CACTTCTATTCAAACGTAATAACCTTTGCTAGATTTGTATGTTCGACACTTGTTTTAGAATTCTTTTATTTGCATGTTAGTGTTCGTCCGTATTCTAATTCATTTGGAGTTTCTCTCTGCAGCAGTAGTACTATTCATAAATTATTGTAAAAAAAATATATTTTATAAAAGTCATTGTACGTGATCCTTAATAAACTGTCAAAATACTGTTTTGTGAGGATGTCCGGGTAAGTTCAAACACAAAAATATCAAATGCAGAACGTTCACAATCATTCATTTTCGCGCCAGTATATTTGTTTTATTATTCAAGGAAAAAAACACAAATTTTCGCTATGAATTCTTAAATGTTTCTGTTTCTGTTGTTGTTTCGCTTTGATAGATACAATTTCATTTCCGTATGTACCATTCTACTATTGCAATTTTTCATCTTCTTCGATAAATTTGTTTGATATGAAGTTCTGTATGCTTTGTTTCGATACTGTTGATTTGTATGCGTTCTGTTTTTCTTATCTCATTTTTTTTACATTTCACACGAAAAAACAAAACAATACACATAACAGAAACAAAATACATTTGTTAAGTTGCTGACGGTCTGTTGTGCATTTGCTTGCATGCATATGTGTGAGATATATATATATATCTTGATCAATTTGCCGTTTTTATTTTTTAAAATCATATCGAAAACGATTGAATCGAACTGCATCGGAATGACATTAACAATGGAATTAAAATCGTGTCAATCTCATATTCAAGTTTATTCAAATAATGTTATTGTGCAAGGTACATAGAAAATTGTGCGTACGACAAAAACAAGAACCATCCAGTTCATTGCCACACATACACATAGTATGAGTCGCACACATATATGGTTGAACGTAAACTAACTATGCCTCATATGCCCGTTAAACAAATTAACCGACTGAAGAAAAATATAAAGTTTGATAAAACACTAATAAGATGAAAATACTCTCTTTTTTACTCGATACATTTTCTTGATTGCCTCGCTTATTTTGTGTATCATATCTCAACACGATTAACATTAAAGTAATAAAAATAATGGTATTTGAGTAAAAGCCGTTTCAATTCTTGACTAAAACCAAGAAAAAACACCAGCAATCGAAAAGAGAAACAAAAAATGTTGACATTGATCAGCAGAATGAATGCGTTAGTCCAAACAAATGCATTCATTGTGAGAGAGTTGAAATAAAATTGTATTTGTCATGAATAGTGATGGTTACTTAAAATATTCAAAAAATTCATTAGCAAAATTCAATCAATTGAAATCATTACGGTTTTTTTCTCTCTCTATGTATTTTATTTTTTTTAATCGACATCTAAACTGAGCGAATGTGAATTATTTCCATTTTAAATGTAACGTTTATTTCATGGAATTGCATCTTTATATCAGCAACTCGAAAAATGTTCTTTCTCTATCACACAACCGAGGATAATAATATGCGAAATTTGAAACCATTTTATCGAATTCAACGCATGCATATTTTGAAAACCAAAGAATAAAAATAGGCATAATCGGGGTTGTTTTTTTTAATGTTTGGGAACAAGCAAAATGTTAAGTTCAGCGGCAAATGTTTGTTTTATATAGGAAGTTTTTCCAAAACACATACAAAGATTAAATTATTATGCAATGACATAGTTCACTGGTTTGTGAATATAACTAAATGAGCAATTTGAACAGATTTTTCTATTCTGTTATTTCTGCTTTTTTCTGTTCAAACCTTTTCTATTCTCAAACTGATTAAATTATGTTTTTAGTATGTTCCCGAAGTTTTGGAATAATGTTGCAGAAGAGATGGGAGAATGCGATGAAGACTTGCATCAAGTAAAATCAGTTCTAACGGTTCTGGGGTACATGACGAAAATGTCTGTTGCTTCGATAAAGACAGCAAAAAGAATCGAAAAACTTGAAGGCGAATACACGAAAATGCGAACAAATAAACCGAATGAAATATTTGACCGATTTCCCGAATTGAAACAAATCGATGCATTCACACCGGGAATTAAATCGATTATCATGGATGTTACGACGCATATGAATCGAATTCAGAATCCGAAATGTTCTGAAAAAGAAATTAAATCGACGAAAACAAGAGTTCTTGAACAAGTGAAAAAGGTATGTTTCCGTTTATTTTTAGTTTTTTTTTTTCTTTTTGATAATGAACTACTTGTTTCATTTTTTAAAAGATTTGTGAGCAAATGACTGACGGCAATATTATGATCGAAGAAACAAGTTCTGGTGCCACATGCAAAGTATCATGCCCTCAATGTCAGACAGTGAGTGCATTGGGGTCGTTCACGAACCAAACTACAGGCAAGCAAACATTTTCCATCCACAATTTTACACGCCACTACACAACCATGCATGTTACACTCACAGCAGAACGTGGCAGTCACCAAACTGACACTCATGATAATGGTAAATTTATTTCTCTATTAGTTAACAAGATATTTGTTTTTATATTTTCTTAATCTATATTTGTACTGTAGCTCATGAGAAATTGAATCCATTGCAAACGGCCAACCAGGAAGTGTTGGAGCCCACTGAAAAATCGGAAACTTTGAAGAACGAGCGAGAAGATTGGGAAAAAGAAATAGAAACGAAAGACATCGGTAAGATTCATGAAATTAAATAAATATTATAGACATTAACTTAAATTGATTTGTAGCTATCCATGAGATTAAAGAAAAGCTCAACAGCGCACTGGCTGAAAATAAAAAACTTATATTTGAATTGAATGCTTTGAAATTGGTTAACGGTCAATTGGGCAATGATGAGGATTGGAATTCTGACTTGAATCTAAAGGGTAAATCATTACAATTCAATTTTTTCGTCTCTTAATCAATTTAATTTTAGCTGCAGAAATTGAAAATCTTAAAAAGCAACTCAGTTCAGCTCAAATTCAGAATCAACAACTTACTCTTGACAAAAAAGATTTGGAGTACAAGTACAATGATGTTGTAAAAAAATACACATTAAAAGGTGAACATCAAACAATTCATATTAATTTTGAAAATATTGTATACCATTTTTTTTTTCAATTCAAATATTCCATAGTTGCTCATATACAAACGCTTGAAAAAGAAATCAGCACTTTCCGTCAAAAGAAAATTGCAAAGGCACCGTTCGTTGCTAATCTCTGCTACTTCGAATCTATTAATAGCGACCCGAGCATTGTGTTTGAAGACAATCAAGTAAAATTCACTGGTAATTGAAATCACAATTTTTAAAAAGGTTCGCTTTTCTCAACAATACATTTTTGCTACAGACTGTCAAAATCGTGCAACACAGTTATATTTTGATCACATTTATCGTGGAGATGCAACTGATGAAAAGTTCAAGGATTTGCAACCATATTTGAATGAATTCATTTCCGGAAAAACCATCTGTGTATTCAACCATGGCACTACAGGTAAAATATTTGTTAACATTTAAACAAAATGTTTGGCAGTTCCTACTTTTAATCATATTTGTTTTTTTTTTTGTTTGTTACAGGAAGTGGTAAGACTTGTACCATGTTTGGATTTAATGGTTCAGGTGGCATCCTTAGTCGATCGGTCGGGTTTATTTTAAACAAAAAATCCCCATTGGTGGTGAGTGTCATTGAAATGACGGAAAAAAATTCGTACGATCTCGGAAATGGAAAACAGATGCACATCGCGGACGCAATAACAAAAATTTCAATCGGATCAATGGTTGATTTTAATCAGCTTCAATTAAAAGTGTTGAAGATTCGCTCTCAAAAAAGCACCGATCAAAACACCACTTCTTCACGCTCGCACTTGATTTTCGAGCTCTCGTTTGAAGCCAGCAGCGCTAAAATTGCATTTATCGATTTGGCTGGTTGGGAAAACGCAGCAAATACAAACATTGACGAATCGAAATTTATTAACGCATCATTGACGAGTTTGAATACGCTTTTATTTGCCATTGCCCAGCAAAAAGTAATAACTTTCGATTCGAATTTAACTAAATTGTTGAAGCCGTATTTCTCCAAAGGGTATAAATGCATATTGATGTATCACGTGTCAAAAGTGGCAATGAAGAAGGGATTGGAAAATATAAAAAAAGTTGTGGCGTCGTTCCAATCAGGCATAGCTATTCCAAAATCAAGATCGACCAAAGCCATTCCAGAAAAAAAACGAAAGGCCCTCGAATCAATTGAAAATGTATTAATGAATTGATGAGAAATGACAGATAAAAAATGTGTCTTATTTTGTTCTTCCTTTTGTTTTCAATAAAGTTCAAATGGTTTGAAATCAAGGTATTATCAAACTTAACTCGAATTGATTTGTGTGTTTTTCTCTCTATATATCTATTTCTCGTCCACTTATACTGTCTTTCTCCCTTCTGTCCGAATGACTACATTCCGATTACTACGTGGTATGGATCTGAGATGAAAGGGATGTCAAAATATAAGAAAAACCATGACAAAAAATGCTGTATTTCAAAGTGACTTTTTTCAAAACTAATTTTTATTTATAAATTTCATTGATTATAGAATCCTTCTATTTAGATGAATCCTTCCATTTTTTTTCAGCTGCGTTGTGAAACCGTTTCAAGTTCATTAAACTTTCATCCGATGCAGGCCATTTGTAACTTTAATGAAAGAACGTTTGAGATTATTAATATATTTTTTACAATCTAAAAAAATGTATGGTTCAATTGAGTATATTGGCACATATATTCGCACATATCACAACATACGAAGTTGTTTGGTACATTAGAACGGCTGTAATGTTTGAATTTGTGTAGCACAGAATTGTATAACCTTACCAATATCCAATATCGTATACTTCCTGACAACGCGGCAAGAAAGTACGTAATTAGCATTCACATGAAAATACTATAATAAACGGCGATATCTTTCTGAATTGGTTACCATATTAATTTATTAAAATCAATTATGTTTACGAAATAATTGTATGGGGTGTTTTGTTTACTATGATTTAACATGAATCATAACAATAATACCAGCAAATTTAATTAAATTTTTCAACTTCAGTGTGAAGTAGAAACAACACTACTGGCTCTGCACTTCAAGTATCGCTGTTATGATTCTATTGTGTAAAATGCGTTAGCATAAATAGCTCAAATTCAATTTTTTTCAGTTTCTTTTTTTTTTGAAAATATTTTTCAAATATGTCATCTAAGGGAATGAAGATTTTATTTGCAATGATAGATTGATTTTTGTGTTCAAAAACACTATCATTTGTCATTTTAAAAAAGTCGACTTTGATTTTCTTCTTTGTCATTTATTTTTAATATGAGTGAAATCGCTCAGTTGATCGCTTATTTTGAGTTCGTCAATAACTTTTTCTGTGTAATATAATTACAATGTCCGGACTAGAATATATATTGGGGGATCCAATTGATAAATTTCCTGAAAACCGTCAACCAACACTTCGCGATGTTTTGTGCTTTTATTCACAATACTGGAAAAAACATGGTAGTGATTCTATGAAGGAAAAATTAGTGGCACAAGAGCTAATGAGAGTGTACCAAAGTGAAAATATTCCGCTTTTGAACGAAAAAACTATTAAAAACAGAATTAATAAGCATGTAAACAGTTTGAAAAAAATTTTGAAATTCAAATCTAAGATGAAAACTGCGGCAAATATAGAATGCGAGCAAAACTTTCTTTCAAAACTCGACGATTTTTTTGAAATTTATCAGACAGTTGAAACATTCAGTGTAACACAGGAACAAGCCGGACCATCTGGAACTAATCAAAGTATGGAAGTATATAATTTTTATGAACGTGTTTTCAAATCCACGCATCATGTTATTTTATAATATTATAGATACAAATCAGTTTCAGTTGAAAACTTATAGTAAAATGTATTTATTTTTCAAGGAAATGAAACAAGTTCAAATTACACCGACCAGATTGAAAGTCACAATCAGGTGGATTACGGTACGTAAAATTAAGGAAAAGAAATAATGATTGTTTTTCAATGTTTTGCGTCATTATAATGAGCTACTTGTTGTCCGTATCTGTCACTGAATTTTTTTAAATCCGTGATATGTTTTTGATTTCATTATTCAGATAATCCACGTCCACTGACTCCAGACCCGGACGATGAGGATAGCGACTATGAAGTTATTGAAAAACAGCCAATTCCTGATGAGACCTTATGGGAAATGTTCAGAACTGGAGCATCATTTCGATCTTTATCTAGTATATTAGATCTTGCTTTCAACACAGCTGATGCCAATAACCGTTTTTACACATCAACTTCCCATCTATTTAGGAGTTATCAGAGAATGTTGCAAGGCAAGGAAGCTAGTTACGCATATAAAATTCAACAGAATGAATCGTTCGGTACAATTTGCTTCGATCATCAAGCAACAAGAAAAATTGCAGGAAAGTATGAAGGTACATCACATCGTTTAGCCATTGTATGGTATTGTGAGAAAAAACACAATGTGATTGGAATGCCTGAGATGCCAAATAAAACAGCTGAATCTCAAAGTTTGGCCATACAAGAAACTTGTGATGAATTTGGGATCCAGAGTCAACAAATTGTGGCTTTCACATGTGATAACGAGATCACAAACACTGGTATCAACGGTGGAACTTGTGTTCTACTGGAATATGCGCTCAACAAGATGCTTCTTCGTTTGATCTGTCGCCACCATAAATATGAAATTGTAATTAAAGATGTATACCATCATCTTTTCACTTCGGACACACCAAACAATCTATTTTATTCAGCTTTACGAGAAATTTGGGCGGAATTACGCGAAGACGATTTCCCATTTGAACCATTTAATGATGAAGATGACCCAATCATTGAAGATATGAATATCAGAGCATATCAAACATTCATTGAAATGAGAAATGATGCGGTAAGAGAACTTCGCAAACACTCAAAAAGTAAACTTGTACGTGATGATTACAGAGAAGTTACATTGGTCGCAATGAAATTTTTTGGAGAAAATCAGGAAATCAAGAAAAGAAATCAAGTTAAATTTCGCACTCTCATAAATCCCAGCAACGCTCGCTTTATGGCGACTATCATTCAAGGTATAGAATGCTTCTTATTTAGAAATCGTTTTGAATGGAATACGCCGGAACTTCTGCAAATGAAACATAACTTAACGAGATTTGCTATGTTTGCTACACTTATCTACATCAAAAACTGGAATAAATGTGGCATTTTGTTCGACGCACCGAAAAATGACTTGAAATTTTTGCAGGAGCTTCAAAAGTACCGGCTTATTGATGAAGAAGTTGCAAATGTCGCAATGCGTGCCATGAATCGTCACTTAAACTACATGAGTGAAGAACTGGCGCCCCTCTCGTTGTTTTCCGAAAAAGTTTCAATTCTACAGAAAAATTTGATTTCAGAGAAATTAAAATCATTACAAAATGAAACAATGCCGCCACGCAGACATGATGGGAATCATGTTACATTTTGTGAAGGAATCGCTGACGAAAACTATGACTGGTCCACAAAATGCGTCGATGACCTAGTTGGTGAACGTTCACTATTTATTTTTAACACTATGAATTTGCCTCGAAGTTTCTTAATATTAGATGCCGACGAATGGAATACCAATCGCGACTACCTCAGTGCTAAAGAAACCATACAGAATGCTTTGATATGTATTAATGACACAAGCGAACGAGTTATTTCACATTGCAAATCGATGTTCAAAAAACAAAGATGCAGAAAAGAAACTAGTTTTCGTCAAAACATGCTAAGCCTGAATAATTGCTAAGTGAGAATAACAAAAGATAGCCGATTTAAAATAAAACAAAATTTTTTTATTATTTTTTTATTTCCACAAAAAGATTCTATGGTCGCTATTTTGAGCTATTTAAAAAATAAAACTTATTAGCCTGTGCACGATTTTCATTAAAAATATTTTGGTTTCAATATTTTCCAATGCCAAACCGAGTTCGATTTTCACAAAAAATCAAAATGAATATATATTACATAGTTTTTTGATTGAATATATTTAAAAACATGACAATGAATACAACAAAAACTTTTACACAGCACAAATGAATCAATTTTAAGTTTTCATCCAAAAAATTCGCCCCCGTAGTCCCGCAATATATGAAATTTTTTTAATTCGAAAATCTACATGTGAATATTTTTATTTTTAGTATTAAAGTGATTCAAATTAATTTGTTATATTTATTTTAACTATTTAAAGTCACTCAAACCATAAAACTACGAAAAGCAATTCCATTTCACATTTTCATAATTTTTTCTCGTTCGACGATCACTATATGAAACAATATGTGGACGAAAAATTATTCCATGAAAATTTAAAATTGAAGAGTTTTTGAGAGTTTTACGATTTGAGTGAATTTAACTAATGCCAATAAACACAACAAAACTATTTAAATAGCTTCAAAAATTTTCATTTATAGTTTCGCACTATAGGATCGGTTTTTTAATGAAAACTTTAAATTGATTCATTTTTGCCGTGCAAAGGGTTTTTTTGTATTAATTGTCATACTTTAAAATATATTCAATCATAAAACTATGCAATATAAATTCATTTTGAATTTTCGTGAAAAAAAAATGAAATCCGTTTTGTATTGGAAAGTATTGAAACCAAAAAAAATTTGATGAACATTTTTCACAGGATAATTTTGCATAGTTTTATCTTCGTGTGTATTTTTAAATATGCCAATGTAAGTCATTTAAATAACAAAAACACTGAAAACAAAAAAAATCTTCAATTTTTTATTTTACATTCAATTTCTTAAACATATTGAAATCATTTAATAAAAAAAATCTACATCTATCTGAAGCAATGAAACTTTTGAATCAATTTTTTTTATTGTAAACAGCAAATAATTTTATTGAATTGAAGAGAGAATAGCAAATTAGAAGTCAGTTGAATTTTTATAAAAAAATACTCAAACATGCATTTTTTTAAATTCTTTTAAATCAAATGGACAGTTCTATTAAAATTATTGGCCATTGCCAAATTTGATACCACAATAATTTTTTAGCAAAATACAATTTATTTCAATTGTCTCGCTATGTAACGATTTTGATTTTTCATTTCATTCTATAAAATATATATCGAGAATAAACAATATTTTATATCAGAAGTCGGAATCAAATTAAGTCATTTGATTTACAAGAAATATTTTAAAACGATAAAATTGAACCTTCATCGGGTAATTCGCATATTTAAAACATTTGGTGTTACATGATGCCCTCTAAATGGCAACCAACGTCCACTACATAGAGAGAAAGAGATTTATACGCCTGTGTGAGTGAGTTTGACATCAATGATGTTGATATATGTGTAACGAA